ATAAAAAACAGTCTTGTGAGATGAAAAACTGGGGGAAGTAGATAAACCTATCCCATTTTTAGTCCTATTTTAAATCTTTTACCTGACCACCACAATCCCACCACCATTTTCAGAATTATGGATGTTATATTGTTTACTCTAATATGCAACTCTGAGGGGAAAATAAGAATAGGAGTAACATTTGCCATACTGATTAGTTCTTATCAATATTCATATTACCAGAAAAATTTTTTCTCAATGTATTTTTCTTCCTGCACAAACCATAGAGCAAGCTCATAAAATAATAGAGATTTTGCTTGCTCATAATTGTCTAAAATTAAGATCCAGAGCTATGAAATGGTTTGACAACTTTGATACATAAACCCCAAAAGAATATTTCTAAAATTCACATACATGCACTAGCTTTTCAGTTACACAAACCAAGCTAAATTCTTTAGTAAACACGCTATGTTCTGAATTATATAGTCAGAAAATGAAAAGAACATGCTACTTGTGGAATTGCTTTTATAAACATAGTCATCTTCTAAAGATACAAATCAGCCTTGTGTGCAGAACTTGGAAAAATCTGGAGCTCATGTATTTTCTGCCTTAATAATATGTGCTTGGAGCAATTTTGTTTACAATTTACAGTTGTGTTACATATGAAGGGAAGGATTAAAATTAGGTATTGGCTGTCAGCTTGTAGAATGATTTATTTATAGTTCTTTTTTGTTAAAAATGTTAATTTACATGTTAATTAAATGGTGAGAATTTCACTAAGTGAAATTTCTAGTAGTAGGATAAATTATCTGAAGGGAATTTGATGAAATGGCTGCATAAAATTACATACACAAGAAAACAAGGGAATAAAGACAGGGCAGTGTACAATAAAATAACTGTACTAATACTCTACATGAGTCAAATGCCCACTTTCTCCAGTAACATTTGTGTAATTATGTTTAAAATTGTAGAAAATTATCATATTTCAGTTAGTACCCAAAAAAAGAGAATTAGAATAAAATCTGTTTGTTTTAGACTAGAATATTAGTTAGCCTGAATTTGAAACTCTTTTATCTCTGTTAATTTCCTTAGAAAGGACCATAACCTATATGATTAATATAATCTAATCTGCCTCAGGCTGGACATGAAAACCATAAATACAATACTATAGCAATTGAATAGTTTGCTCTGCATATGTGGAGCATGTTTACTTGTCTCAGTAGTTTGATTTAATAGAAATCAAAGCAGAGGTTTTCTGCAAGAAAGCATTGAAGGATGCACTGGAAATGTTCCATGGTTATAGAATTAGAAAGGGTATGTTTTAATGGAATATCACTGAGTTTTAATATAAGCTAATATGCAAGCATGAGTGATTTGACTAACAATCTTCATAACTGAGTCAAGTTGAAATTTCCTACAACTCTTCTTATCTTGAGTGAAATAGATTTTGTTAGCCACAAAATTTCTGACTTTAGGCTTCTTTATCAATACCTAGGGTTTAAGAAAATTAGGAGCAGTAATATATAATCAGAGATTCTTTTAAATTTGGTTCATTTGACAGGTAAATATGTCCCATGGTTTTAATAATTATGAGAAGTGAGGTTGCTTAAGTAAGGTTGCTCTTCATTTTTAAGCAAGGAAAATTTTCATTATTAGGGAAAAAACATCCAGCATGAGAAAAAAATATTTCTGTTTATAGCTTCTGCTTTTGAAACTTCTGTCTTTTTAACTTCAGTGAAGCCTAATGTTATTTCAAATTTGTGTAAGAAGTTTTTCCTCAGACATACACATATTTAAAAGCACAGATACACCTTATGTATGCTGAAATCCTATGGCAGTCCTTTATTATTTGTTACTCTGGTTTACAAAAAATTCTAAAGATAACAAGCACAGTGACTGCAATGAGAATGACAAGGGTGACACTCTCTTGTATAAACTACAGACTGGTAAAAAACTGCATAAGTTGGTATGTCAAAGTGATACTTCCTTTTCTTCTGGGCTAGCATTTTGTGATTTAGCATATGCAATGGCACAAAGGGCATTATATTTTAAGCAGTGAACTCTTTAATTCTTTATTTCTTGGTCAAATGTGAATATATCTCTATTTTCACATAATGTTTGAGTGGTTTATGATGTTTTCTGATAATGGAGAAAACATATGCTTTTAAAAATGACAGTCACATTTGTTCATGCAAGTAGACACATTTTGAGATGAGACAGATGGAGCAAAGGGTCAGCAGGTGAATACCAATGGGAATTTATAAAATAGTCTGTTTACCTTTGCTTCCATCTGATATCCAAAGTCTAAGACAGAGTAGATGAAGGAATTCAGTTTCTCTTCATCAGCTTCCCTCCTGTTTCTTGTTTAAAAGTGCAGCCCTATTGAACTAGCTTTAATCACAGTCACCTTAAAATGTAAAACTTATCAAATACTATTGAAAGTAATTATGAATCTTTTGGAAATGTAAGGCACAGTTCTTGTTTTTACAGTACCTGAGCAAGGTTCATGAGTGTATCTCTGAAGTGACCCGAAGTCTCAGAATCAATATCTTGTTGAAGATCAGAATTATATTCTAGGTTAAACCAAAACCATGTAATCTTAAATCACAAATGAACATGCTCTGAATAGTACAAATGAAGATTATCAAATAAAGGATAAATAGGCTTAGTCTATTCCAGTGTAACCTGGGCAGGTTCTACAAGGACCTGGCTGTGGGGCTGGTGTTGGAGAATTTTGCTCAGACATAGCTTGAAGGAAAAAAGGCCATGAAAATATACAGCTGATGGAAAAGTAAAAGGCAGCTGTAAGCAGCTAATTCTCAAGCCTGTTTCCCAGGCACGTTTCTGTAAACAGCAGAGTTCTCAGGCAGTTTTCTCATAACAGGTAAACATTCTATCTTTGGCTGTTTTGGGAAAGTAAAAGTAAGTTTTGAGAACCATTCTTATCAGGGTGAGAACACAAATCTTGGTTTCAATAACAAACCACAGGTATTGAAAACAAAAGGAGGGGTTAATGTGTAATCTGTGACCTATGATGAGCTCAGATTTTGCAATATGTATGAGCTTAATTAACACGGTTATAAAATATTCCTGGTGAATCAATAAACTGGAGTTCGATGCTGATCAATTAAGATGCGTCGTCTCCCTTCACTTCAATAGGCTGGCATATCCATCTGGCCCTGCTGGGGGCCCTCAGCCACTGTCCCCACTGGCCTGCCCACCCCCACATTGCTTCAGCCTTTTGTATGTAGGTGTGGGAGAGGATGTGGAGAGGGAACCAGGCTGTACTGGTCTGTACTGTATTTTTGTAGTTGTGTTCTTTTGGGTGTGCTAATACCTCCAGAACACACATAGTACAACTGCTACTCTGCACTTGGTAAAACAGCTTACCCATCAGGTAGGCTTCTTTCATCTGGAAGATCTCCATATTTGATCTTGAGGCTAATATGTCAATTAGGCATTTTTCTTCTGTGTCTACTCCCTGTATGGAAAGAAGTAAATATGAAAAGATGTTGTGTAGTAGAAACCCCAATTTTTAGAAGAAAGCAGTGATGTCCTTATTAGAAATAACAAAATAATAGCAGTTTCTGTAGTGTACTTTTGCATAACCTACCTGTTCAAATTACTTTAATATATTTCAAATATATTTCTAAATCTGAATTTCATCATGTACCTTAGCAAGTGGGAAATGAAGCAAGACTAGTGTTGACAGAAACATAATAGGAATAATTTTAGAATTTTAGTAAGAATTGTTGTTTGCTGAAAGAAATCAGATGCAAAGATTGAGCATACATCCCTAGCAAGTGTTCAGGAAATCTGAAGTAGACATGAGCATAGTTATTATGTTGGTCTTCTCTCTTCCAATAATTTTTTTTTTTTATATTTTATTTAGGAATGCTATAGTCTGCAATATCTAGCATAGAACTTGGTATTAAAGTAAAGCATCATGGAGTACATGCAGTGCTGCAAATCACTGTATTTTCCCAGAGTTTGAATTAATTTTATAAACTTCACTTGTCATAAGATGTGGTGCACTTGCTGCTTTTGACATACACGTGGATAGTGTTAATGAATATTTTGCATTTGGAATAACGGAAGAGCATTAGAGCCCATAGATACACATGGGCTGGTTTTTTTTACCTTGGCCATATGAATCCAGGTCAAAAGAGAGTACTGTAAAAAAATTAAAGTTTGACCCACATTTAGGAAAAAATAAACTTGGCAATTTTGTCAATAATGTTAATGAAAGACATTATTCCTTTGTTAGCAATGATATTTCACAATCCTTTTAATGCCAACTATAATAAAGACATACCAGTACTTCTAAAAATTTATTTAAGTATCTGAAGAACAAGAAAAAACTAGTAACTTTTTTTTGGGGAGGGGGGGCAGAATTCTCAAAATTGGCAAGATAAATCATCTTGCCCGAAGTCTTGTAATCTCTGTCTTGCTTGTGGCAAAAGACAGTAGCAAACATCCGTGGAAAGAAAAGGAAAACAATGTTGAACTCTGATATGCCTTCCTGTCTTTCAGGAGTCAGTAATTCAGGAATTTCCTTAGAAGAATTATTATTTTCAATAGCCAGCAATCAGCCTGGTTTCAAAGAATATATTGAAGTCCTCTGTGAATTAAGTTATGCTTTTGGTCTTCACAATGCCCTGTAGGAATGAATTTCACCATTAAATGACCTGATATTTGAATTTTTTTTTTCACAAACTTCAGTTGTGTGAGGATTGCAGTCTCAGATCCAGGGAAGACAAGGAAATATTTCCTTCAAAATGGGAAATCAGTTCTGTTTCAGTGGAGTTACTATTACTTTGTTGTAGGCACACAGTTTGGTCATTTGGAGTGGGGCTGTGGCCGAGCCTCATCCCCAGTGGGTGCAGCTGTGAGCAGCAGGTGAGCAACACTGACAGCAATGAGCCATGGAGTGCCCAGGGCACTGACCAACCACCACAGGGACACACAGGTGCAGTGCATCAATGAGAGGGTATAAAAGGCTGGGCTGAAGAACAGAAAGCACACACACTTGCAGCCTTCTGAAGTGGAGTGGTGCTACTGTGTATGGGCAGATGCCTGAAGCCTTCAAATGAAGTATGGTGTTACTCTGGGTGAATGCTTAAAGCCTTCTGAACTTGTATGGTGATACTCTGTGTATCATGGCCCTCTTGACTGTGCAGTATGCTGTGCCACTTTGTCACAGAGCAATTTGTAAGTGTTTTTGCAGAGACATCTTCTGCTAAAGAAGTATGGGTTGTTAGAGAGGTGGTGCTTGCTGTGGAAATAAATTTGGTTTCTAGCATACATAAATGCTTGCAAAACCCAGCACCTTATGGTTCCCTGTATAAATCTTTATTCATTTTCTGAGTTTACCATGGGTGTTAAATGGGCTTTGTATGTTCCATGACAAAGATATTATTTATGCTGATTGTAGCACACTGATGGATAAGCTTGAAATAGCACTGTATTTCTGTTGACTAGTGATCTAAGTGATAGTATACTACTCCAGTGTACTAACTTTCAGTAGTTTATCAACCAATGAAATGTAAAAAAAAAAAAAATCATATGTGTTCAGCACTCTAATTAATGACTGCTACTCTAAGCATTCTGAATATAAAGATTACCTTCAAGGCATGCCAAAGCTCATGGGCATCATAGGATGCAGGTGGGTACATCAAGCCAACCATAACTTCTTTAAAGTGATGAGAGAGATTCTCTTTTAGGTCTGTTATCAAATCCTTGAAAAGAAAAAGAGAGAGCGCAGACGGGATTATCTCTATAGTCACACTTTACTAAGACAGCTTAAAAAATTATAAGTGGTTTTCTGCCTAAATGATTCAGGATGAACTGTTAAAGATTAATTTTGGCAAAGATTAAGTAAAATAAAAAAAATTGTTCAAGTAGTACATTGTGGGATCTCAGCACCTCAGGACTGAGGTGCCGAGTCACTGAGACCACCCTTGGGGGGCTCGGGAGTCCTGGAATGTTGCCAGAAGTGTCTGGTGGCTGGACTTTGATCCTACACAGGAGACGACACCTGTATGAGGATAGGAGGGTTTCACCAGGGTGAATGGTGAAGGGATTAGTTACTTAGAGAGTGAAACACAGGGTTTAGGATTTCTGTACAGGGGGGTTTAGAGAAGTAAGATGGAGGAATTGGGGCGTGTCCTGTCCTTCTTCTTCTTCTTCTTCTCCTCCATCTTCTGTGGTGATGGTGGCACTTTGAGATTGGTTGTTACTAAAAGTGCACCGGGCAATAAGGGTGAAAGGTATTGGGGAAAAATGATAAATATTGTATACGTAACTTTGGGTATAAAGATAGGTGACCGCCCCGGAGGGGAGGGGAGTGTGCTCATGGCTGGCTGCTGAGCAGACCTCTGTCGGGCCGAGAGAAAATCTTTTAGATAAACAATTAATAAACACCGAGACCGAGAAAAGAACTGAAGCCTCTTCTGTTCCTTTGAAACGCGGGCTGCCCCAAGGCCACCCCGGGCCTTTCCAGGCCCTTCAAACAGCCGAAAACCGGACAGTACATGCTTGTTTTACTAGTATGAGCAAGATGAGAATAGGTGCACAAGCCAGTAGGCCACAATGGATTGTTGCTTTCAGTTCTTAGAACAGAGAAGAAAATGTAGATGTTTAAGTGCAATTATTACTTAGTCTTGGAAAACTGAATATCACATCAGAGCATCTGCAGCTTCCCTTAATTTATTCCCTGTGTGAATCTGAGAGGCGTAAGCACCTTTGGAAGATCAAGCTCATAAAACACAGGTGGTTTCTTTTGGTTCTTTTTAGTGTTACCATGTGAATAATTTAAGAACAAATAATCTGTATTGCTCCTAGTACATAAAAATATCAGCTTTGGATAGCTGGAAGGTTATGTACTTCAATTCAAGGTTATATTTTACATTTTAAATTAGTTCACTACTTTTGATAGATGCTGGATTAATAACATGAGACCCCTTTTTTCCTCCTCATATTTCTCAGTGCTTTCTTGCCAGATAGCTAAGAAATGGATTAGAGTTTCCTCCCCATCCTCCCCATTCATAGCAGCATCTTTCATAACACTGCAAATGCCAAAAGCTTGTTAACTTACAACTAGTTACTGTTTTTGATTGAGGACACTTGTGGGATCTTTTTTTTTTTAGTATTTTGTGTGCAGCACTAGACACCTGTAACATGTTCTAGTCTGTCTGAATTGAAAGGCATGCCAGAAACAGTTCCCATTATAAACTAGTATATTTCCAGATCTGTTTTTTTTCAGGCCTGTACTTTGATTTTAATATATTTCTGGTTATAATTAATTTAATAGCTAGAGTAGCAATGAAGGAAGACACATGCATATTAAAAATTAAATTTATGATGAAGAAACATACACAGTCTTTGGTGAATGCACTTTAGATTCATTTGACAGCAACTAAATCACGCATGGAGTAGAATTTAATTCATTAAGACATTTTACTTCTGACAACATGCCTATGGGAAAATGAATTAATAATACAAATGGATACTACTTAAAAATTACTCCTGCAATCAGAACTAAGGGAAGTATTGGAAAAAAATAAAAGACAGCTCTAAGTTGTCACTATTATAATTTCCTAATCATCTTTGCTACATGAAATCCTTGGAGCCTAATTGTAAGAAGGAATCTTAAAACTTCTCTGTATGTCTGAATCATGCAGCTAGTTCAGGTCTTTATAATTTTAATATTTCTCTCCTTTTGTGTCTCAGTTTACATTTGTCTAATGAATGGGCCAGGTGGCTGCCATATTGGGCAGACTGAAGTGAAATAGAGGGAAAGGATGGGACCAATAGGTTCACCATAAATTGAACTGAGAAGGTTAAAACTGCTGTTGCCATGCCACATCTCTTCTCTGTCCTGTGATGTTTGCCACTCAAACTGGGCTTGCCTAATGGTGCATTTGTTCAATGCAATATAACCAGTGGGACAAATTGCAGCCAGGGAAGTGTGATGTGTGCTAAATTCTTTCAAAGCACAAACTGGTGCAACTCAATGTAAGATACATCACATTCTTGGCAGGTTTTTTTAAGGAACTGTCAAGAGTATCATGATGAATCTTGCACTGTAAAGTGTACCCAGTGCCTAATGAATTCATTTGAATTGAAATTGTGGGTGTATTGGAGTACGTTCCATGTTTTTTAGTGTGTTCTGTAGCCCATTGCTAGAATATGAAAACTGTTTTCTTGCCTTTCCCTTCTATTATTATTCATAGATTTAGACACTGTGATTCTTTAAAAGGACATCTGACATCTTTGTCCTTTTTTTTTCTTCTAGGTCATCAGATCTGTGTCCACCGCCTTTATAGCACTTCATGTTAACTCATATGGCTGAAAGAGGTATGAATTTAAAGGTGATATGTTTTCATAGGGGCTTACTGATTTTTTTATGTTTTTGTTTTGAAAAGAAGAGCCAGTTAGACTAGTGGTGAGCAAGTCAATAATTGGTCTCTGTAAACATGAAATAACTGTGTTCCTGAAGGACATTTCCAAGCCTTTATTGTGGTACTGTATTATTTCTAGGTCATCATGCATCAGAGAGTAGAAATAAAAGATAAAAACATGATGCAAAGCTTTAAAATATTTACCCCAAAGGTAGCTCGATGTACTTTAGTTTGCTATAAGTAACATTAAAACTTAGGAATATTGCATGGCTTAACACTGACCTTGTATGACTTGCATGTGTGATGGTAACCTAATAAATATCTCATAATAGAAAAAACAGGTTTAATAATTTAGGTGCTGATTTCTATCATTGTCATGGTCTCTGGAAGGTAGATAGCTGTGATTGTCAGTTATTGTTGTGGTCTCTATAAAATATACTTATTCATTCAAGGCTATGTCTAAAATGTCACAATTATTGTGTGTTTCATTTTTTTTAACAGTCCAAATAAAGTCACTGATATCCTGGAGATGAGTAACAATACAAAATCAACCCACTACACTGATTAAATCCAGCTCTTTTTCCTCCAGTTCTAGGACAGTAAATGGGTCTTTGAGCTTATTCAGGGGTCAGTGGTTTTGAGGTTTTTTAGTGTAGAGCTGCTACAAAGGTTGTCGCTAGAAAACTTGACCACCCAAACATTCTGCTGGTTAATGAACTGGAGGTGTAAAAGCATCATAAAATGTGGAGTTTTTGAATGAACCATTTCTAGTTAACCCTAATCAAGGGAGATGGCTCTGTGGTAGCATTTGTGCAAACTCATTGTTCTCACTTATGCTGATAGATTCAATGGCAAGCAGACACTGGCCTGCAAGGAATTTTCCAGTGAACCTTTGGTATTACAGGCTTCAGGAAATGAAGAAAACTGGATTTTGTCCTAGGTGTTTGTCTGCTTTCTTTCAGGGGAAGGGCATGTCTAGTCAACTTAATCAAATAGTATCTAGTTTTACACTGTACTTTTCATGACTTTCACAAGAATTTTGCAAGGGATGTTATTATTGTTTTTGCCCTTGTATAGCTGTAGCAGCTAAGGAAAATGCAGGCACTGCAACTTTCCTAAAGTTATTTGGTTAGCAACAATAGATCTGGAAATAGAATGAAGGTATATATCTCTGTGTATGTTTAAGAACTCAGCAAAAATTCCATTGTTATATATAGTAAATATAGGTAAAATACAGTGTTTTAAAAATAACTTTGTCTTAAATTTTAAACAGTTTTTTAAGATCATACATTTAAGCAGGTAAGATGACTATTGTGCTTAATGTACATATGGGACTATATGGAATGAGGTGTGAGACTGTCAGTGCTTGAGATGTGAACATTAATCATTATGTGAGCAAGGTAAAAAGCCTATAACTCTTGTGTGTGGTGTTTTTCTTTGGTTACAATACTATTTTATTATTTATTCCAAAAAAGCACATAAAGGAAGAAAGTCTGTTCAGGTATTTTAGGTTGGTCAATAGAGAAGAATGGCCTGTAGAAGAAGGAACTTTCCCCGCTCTTTTCTAACTCTGTGTGGCAGACAACACTTCTGCTGTAGAAATGACAAGGTGATACCCTCAGAGGTATCAATAGCCAATGAGCAAGTTGTGTGCCAACCTGTTGTGCCAGCCAGCTGTCTGACAGGCTCGTGGTTCCAGTGAGTGAGCTGAGAGAAGGGCTGCCAGCTGCACGGAGGGAAAGAAGCAATAAAAGCACCAAGTGTTTGTCGTACCCTGCCATACATGTCTCTGTATGCTTCGGCAATCATGAGCCGCTGGGAGTTGCAACGCTGAGTTAGGATTTCAATCAACACATCCTTTTCACAACCTGAAAAGGAAACGACACAGGCTCTAAATTAACAAGCTGCTGTTAATTATTTACATTTGTGATTGTTCTTGTTTTGTTTAAGAACATTATGCTAATTTTTAGAAAAACTGATCAAGAGACTAATATCCTACTAATATTTGCCAACACCAGTTATGTTACTGTGCTTGTGTGTCTTGCACTTGCTGGTGTAATACCATCAAAAGGTGAAGCAGTCTGTTATTACCAGATGCATCATCACCTCTCACCAGCTCAATGGGTTTGAAAGCATCAATAAAACAGCTTTCAAGGATTCAGAACTAGGCCTGGTAGCAGGATTTGTGGCTGAGCCTTGAAAGTAATATTGGTGTGTTCTGTTGATATTGATTGAATTGTCATTTAAGAATTAGGGATCTGTTTTATCAGGATAATAAATTTGTTAGACCATTTGTTGATAAACTCAGTTATAATTTCAGGGGAATTGTATGAAGTTTGAAAAATTATATCTTACTCCATTTAAAAAAGAGCATTTTATTGAAGGTTACCTATGATGGTTTGCTTGATAGGTAGAACTTACTAGTTAACTTCTATAATGAATCAGTATTATTGCTTAAAAAATATTATTAGCATATTCAGAAAACTATTTTTGAGTTTTGAAATTGTTTTTGCATCCAAACGGTTGGGATACTGTACTTAATGATTTCTTTTTACATTTCAGAAAATAGTTATCACTAGGAATCTTTACAGCTTCCATGGTCTCTCTAGTAAAAACTGAGAATGGTCCAGATATAGGAAATATTTTATAATATAAATATAAAACTTGTGTAGTATCAGCAGAGGGTGACTGAACATCCTCATAAGAATGAATGCCATGTGTAGGATTAAGGGTCAGTCAGTGCCTGTAAAGTATATGGTGATTTTACCTTCTCTGAAGATGAATTATTTATTTTTTCAATTGTCCTTTAAATTACAACTTTGTTCCATGTACTTTGACAGAAGGTTAAAATTAAGGTTGATGTACTCAGAGTATTAGATGAAGAATACAATCTCTATATTTTCATATATTAGCAACATTAAAATATTTCATATTTTATCAATGTTATCTTAGAAGTACTCTTTGAAGTGTAGGAAGATGTTTAAAACTTTTCTTTCATCTGTAGCCAATTTGGTCATAAAGATACTTTAGGTTCCCCTTGATGAATAATGCTTATTGTGGTTCACTTGACATTAAATCTGAGTCCTCACATTTTCATTAAAGAAATTGAAAACAGCATGCAAGATTTGGTGCTGTACAATCTTGTGAAAAGCCCAAGGGGTATAAAAGCTCTGAAACAGAGAACAGTTTTAAAGTGAGGAAGACATTTAAGATTAAAAAAAAAAAATCTATATCTTGACACTCAGCAATACCAACAAAGTTCAATAGGAAAAGAAAAAAATCAGAACTGAGAAAAATCCTTTTGTGAACAAAAGATTTTTGGAACTAACACTGAAAGCAAAAACTGAGAAGGTAATGAATTCTTTAAACTTTCTTCTCCATCTGTTTTTATTTCTTGTGACTGAATAAGAGACTTAGCGGACCTTGGTAACAGTTGTTGAAGTTACAACCAAAATCCCTTCATTTCTTAGCCCTCACTCTTAGTGATGCAACACAGAATTCTGTTTTTCTTGTTTTCTCAATGAAGTGTTCATTACTGCAAGTGTTGGTATGGATTTTAGATTAATCTTGATCAACTCAGTTCCTGTAAATGCAAACTATTTGGACATCATCAGTGTGTCTTGTGTTTCCTTGAAGATTTTGCAGATAAACAGTAACAATTTTATGAGTTTATATTTTGCCTAATGCTTTATGAGAGCTTTCTGAAAAAGAGGAAATTCACATTAGAATCAGTCAAGATACTCACAAATTCCCTGTAGGGCTCCTCCTAGCAACTGGGCATCCGTTATAGGGTTAAAATTTGGAGCAGGAAGAATTGTTCCTTGTGTCTACAAAAGGAAAAAGCAGACTTTGAGGTGTTTAACATTTTTAACATGATATACCTAATTCTGCTGCAAACCAATAATCATAACTTTAAATTTTCTTTGCTTCATGGGGAGCAGGATGTGTGGCTTTTGATTTATGAAACAGAACTTAAGCTTGCAGGTGACCATAGGAAGACAGACCGTTTTGGAGGAAGCTGCCTCTAGTATCACTTAGGCCTTAATAGGAAAAAAATGGTGGGGGTTTACCTTAAAATGTAAATCCCTTTGCAAACTCATGTAAAAAGTATTATTTTATATTTCAAAGTTAATCCGTGGTATCCATGACAGTTTTCAATATTTATTCCTCATGTTATTTCTAATTTGAAAGGACTAATGAGGAAATGATGAATGAGATCCATAGGTTGGTTACAAACCTGGTGATTTATTCAAGCAGTGATGTTACCTCACTGCCAAGTGAGATAGTTATGAGCTTGACATGTAGAAGACAATGCAGTTTTTCTAGTTGCTTTAGAACTGATTTAATTATTGTCAGCTCATTCTCAGTGATAGTTTATTTCATGTGTTTTTCTTATTATTCACAAATTTCTTAGAAAGAATAAAAAGAACTAATTTTAATAGAATCACAGAGCAATACAAACAGAAGAAAATAACTGAGGTTGACAGCTACTGAAAGAACCTAGTGAGAGAGTATTGGACTCTGACATCAGGATGACCGGTTTTGAGTCTATAGCCATTTCTGTTGTACTTCTGCAACATCTTTTGCTTCCCTAAGCTCTGGAAGGGATAGGGAAATTACCAGTATGATCTCATGATTTCTCTTCTGCATGCCTTAAGATGGCACACTACAGTGATGAGCAGAAATTGCTCCTCATGGCAAAGTTAAATCTACAGAAGTGACAATTCCATTGTGGCTTTCTTGGTGAGGTCAGAAGTTTATGTTCACTGAATATAATTTCGCTAAATACAATATTCTCCATCCCATCCACACGAGTAAAACAAATTGTGACAAAGTAACAGAAATCTTTGAAGTTGAGAAGAGCAGAGACACTTTTGCACTCTAATATTCTTACTATGAGAGCTTTATCCTAATTTCAGATAGTATAAATGAAAGTATTTTTATTGATTTCAGGGA